TACAATAAAAAAATATACAAAAAATATTATACAGAAAATGGTTAATTTAAGAAAGATTCTTCTCTCTGACTCACTTGAAAAAAAAAAAGAGGGAATCGTAAATTTAAACAGAACGGGATGGCCGGGCGAAGTCATTTAAAATTCTTGCTTGGGAAAAATTGCGCGTCCTTGAAACACAGATTTGACAAACCTGAATCGCCGAAAGACGCTCGTTCAGTCGGCTCCGATGTTCCGAGCCCAGCGTGCTGAAACTTATGTGCTGAGACTCGCTCTCCTTCGGCGTCAGGAATCGGAACTGAGGAACGAGTCGATAGTGAAAGAGACAGTGTCTTGGCCGTCTTAGCGTTCAGTGTCTAGCGCGCGTGTCAACGATGAAAAGCATTTTTTTTCACCAGTCTTTCAAAAATAGAAAAATTCCGCGAGAAACTATCGTGTCTCGGAACGGAATGTGCAATCCAGCTGGGAATCGCCGTAACGGTGTGAACATCGAACAAAAACTGCCGATCGTTCTTCCCCGCCAAAGAAACGAAACACGATCGACCGCACTGCACGACGCTGCTCCCGTCGCTGTCGCCTGCTGTCGCCGCCGACCGGCCGACCGCAGTACCGCACCGCTCTCTATCCCACTACACTACACTTTGTGAAGCCAACTGCCAACCCCACCGCATCCTACATCACCTACTTACATGTTACACATTCACGAGCGCATGCTTTCCAAGATGTCATTCAACTATAGATCGCGAGTAGGACGGACGCTCGTCTGCCCTGCTTCGGGTATTGCATCATTTCATTAATTTTTTGAAAAGCGATTCCGGCTTTAACTGTGATTAGTAAGCATGGCCATGTTCACCCCGTTGTCGAGGGCCTGGGCCAATTAAATTAATAAGAAGAAGAAGAACTATAGATCGCAGGACCACGAATTTCGGATCACAAAACATCTAGATTTTAGAACAGCGACTTCGCGCGAAAGCAAACCATTTTTTATACTCGATCAATTTATTTTTATTTAGCACGTCTTTCTATGTATAATACTCTTTGATGAACTTATACATTAACAAATGATAAAAAATGATATGTAAACAACATTTTACAAGAAATAAATAAACAATGATATATTATTTATTATTAACATCATAATATGTAATTTATTTACATCACATTCTCTAATGAAATTTACTTTTGTATTTTCTCTATGATCATTCCTTATACAATTTTAAAAATGTCACAATAACATTTTCATATATGTAGTATATAAATATATCATATATATTTATATATATTTACATTACACATTTCTGTAATTATATATACAATAGAAAACACTTAAAATATATTTGTATATGTATATATATTTACATATTTTATATTTCGCACGAAAATTAAAGTTTATTTATAACTTCAGTCACAATTTCAAAAAATGCTAATATTTCTTGAATGTCAAATCAAGAATTTAATAGAGAGAAATTTTTATTAATTCTTTAAAAACCAATGTGTTTATATATTGCTCGAAAAGATTAATTATATAAGAATAGATTATCTATAATAAAAATTTAACAAAAATATAGCATCAGAAAAATTGGTATTTTATAATTTAAAATATCTACACTGACTCTTTGTTGGTGCAAATTTATGATGTTTATTACACAAAAAAGGACGAGTTAAATATCACATTTGTATCGTCTACCTATATTTACATACAGAGAGAATATATAATATACAGGATGTGTGTGTGCACGTGCGCACACACAACGTGTACTTAAAATAAGGTAACAGATTTCGGAGTCGAGCTTCCTATACTAAAATAAAAAAATATTTATAAGATAATTTTAATGTTTCGAATAGATTACAACATCAAATCTGTTAATCCGATGGTGATTTTTTCTTGGACATGAAGGGATTAATATTTTGAAATTGTATTGCTGAGGATGGTTCCAAAGTGAACTGAAACGTACTATTATTTTTTGGAATAAAGATTCTATTTTCTGGATTAAAGATTTAAGATTGTGTATTAACTACCACGCTGACTCTCATTCACCCTGTTTTTTTTTGGATTTTTTGTTGAAAATGAAAAAAGTTCATATGAACATATATCCATGCACAAATCTACTGTTACTCAAATATAGTTCAAAATGTTCGCAGGACCAGTTGCATGGCCCCCACGATCCTTTATCTGTGGGGACACTTAAAGGCTCTACACAATAAAAAGAACAGAGAACAGAGAATAAGAATTTCAACCTATATATATATATATATATATCAGAAACGGTATTCCACAATACATGATTTTTGATAGGTTGAAATTCTTATTCTGTTCTCTGTTCCCTGTTCCTTTTATTGTGCGGAGCCCCTTAAAACCTTAGTTTATAAAGTTCCAATCGCCAATGAAGATATGCTACACCAACGCATCTTTGACGCTTATGACACTATTCGCAATTGCCCCGGGATCTTTGAAAGGGTGCAACAGTCCATGATTCGACATGTCCAAACGTGTATTAAATCAAATGAGAGACACTTTAAACATTTGTTATAATTAAAAATTAAAAATAATATTAAATAATAACAAATATTACTTTTTTTTTATTTTTCCCGTATTAATAAACATTTTGAGCTGTATCTCAGTAACAATAAGTTGACGGACATAAGCTCACGTGAACTTTTTATCATGTTTGATATGGGGAGATCAACCCCAAAGTTGGTTACCTTTTTTAATTACATCCTACATATATTAATATATACATATGTATATACAATATATATATATAAATTAAATGTATATATAAATTAAAAGTATGGCTAAACTTTAGAATCACATTCTTCATTCCTAGACGATAAAAATATGTTGCATGAACATAAATTCGGAAATGCAATCTTACCGAATTATTTCTGAAACACTATCGAATGAAGTGAATTCTCAGATGAGAGGAGAATTGGTAACTGAATAATGACATTAATAGCGAATTCGATTGGATATACTCAATACGCACTAGAACATATTAAAGCCGCCGTACAAATTGACTTAAAAATATGTTTAATATAAATATGAAAACGAAATAAATCATAAAATCTTCCATATATCTTATTGTGCTTTAAGTAAAATTGGTATTTTATAATTTGAAATATCTGCATTTTATTTTCATACAGATTAAAAATCAGTGTACAATGATTTTAATCTGTACTACTGCGTCCAACCGAATTCGCTATAAGTACTCTAATGTGTGTGTGTGTGTGTGTGTGTGTGTGTGTGTGTGTGTGCGCGCGCGCGCGCGCGTGCGTGCGTATGTTTTCTAAATATCAAACAAAAACAAATTACAAAACAAAGCTTTGACCGAATACTTTCTTCACTTATACTCAATATTGAAATTATTCTGCACCAAAATGTATATATATGTATATAAATATATTGTATACAAAATATAATTTATATATATACATATAGCTAATTCTTATTAATTTTATAGTGCTGATAATGAATATGTCAATAAAAATTACATCTTAGCTCTCTAGTTTTACAATACATTAATTATAATAGCTTTTAATTATAATAGTTTTCCCCGAGAATACACTGTATGTAGCCTTGCCTCGCACCATGAGTTGCATGTAAGCACTGCATTAAAATAGTGTACACACCATGATGTACACTACTTCATTATTATACTAAAATCTTGCTGTTGATTTCCATTTTCAAATTTTAATGTCACACTCGCTTTACACCGTCCCTTTGAGACGATGTAATAAAATCTATTTGGTGCATAAAATTTGTACTACACCGTAGTCACATAAACATGTTACATTGAATGAGTTCGTCTATCGTCAGCCATAGAAATATACTATACACTGCCTGAGTGTTGCACTAGTGGACGATAGTGCATTTTTTCAAGATAAAATGCTATAAGTTTGAAAAATCTGGGTTCATAATTTAAGAATTAAATGATATCACTATCCAACACTATTTTTCGAGTATAAATGATCATTTTCGATGTATTTTTGCTTGCTGAACACGAATCCGTTATCCAAATTTGGCTGCCATAATTTTGAGAAAAAATGACGTCAAAGAAGTAAAAACGACGATTTTGAGAGTTTTCATGGCGTTGTACCATCAGCAGTAAATATTTTATTTCTAAATTTTGTTTATATTCATGCAAAGGTATCAACTTTCAACTGGTAAAATGCATTTTATTTCGGTCTAATTTTTCATTGTTGAGATATGGCAATTTGAAAATAGCTCATTTTCTATATATCTGTTTTATTAATTTTTTGGTGTTAATAACACACTAGGCAATAAAATTTGACTTAATATAATTGTATTGTAGTATAAAAACGCTTTCCATCTTTCCACATAATATAGTATTAAGATATCTAAGTCCGGATCTACAATAGGTGTTTTAAGCCTTAAGCTATAAGAAATTGACTAATTGCAGAGTCGTCGAATGCGAGAAGAATAATTAAACTATGATTTGTTGATTTCTTATGGCTTAAGGCTAAAAACTAATTGTAGATCCGGGCTAAAAGAATAAAATACCTTCTTCATGTATATTACATAGATAGCGAATTACAAATTACAAATAAAATATACTTTAAAGCTAAAAGTTGATATTTTGACGCGATATTAATAAAATTTTAAAAAATTTACTGCTGATATTACAACGTCATATACTTTCAAAATCGTTTTTTGTATCTTTGACGCCATCTTTCTTAGAAATGCGAACTAATAATCAAATTTAAGGGGATCCTAAAGCAAAGCCCGAACTCTGACGAAGTCACCAAAGCTATTTCTTCAGCGCACCGATATGTTTTTATATATTACCACACCAATATGTCATGCAACTTATGATACATGCAGTTTAAATAACGGATTCGTAAGTAATTTAGTAAGTAAAAATACATTGAAAATGACTATTCACATTTTCAAAAAAAGATCAAGTTTTGTTGTCTAGTGTTATTTATGAAAAACAAATTAATTCGTGTCCCTGTAAACAGATTATTAAAAAAGAACTCTTCACAAAGAAATGAATGATATACTATGTATTCATCCTCTATGAGGAATACCCCTAAAGTTTAGTCTTATTTTTTAGTTATTATACAAATATATACAAATATATCTTATGCGTTTATGTTTCGATATACAATTAATTGAATTTGTTTTGTACAGATATCTTTATACTGTATAAATTATAAAATTTAAGCAGTTTCTCACATATCATCTTTCCGTAATGTAAAAATCAAATTACCTTTTGCTTGCTCTTGTTCATTATCTTACGACACATAATGCAAATTTTTGATTAACAAATGGATTAAAGGCAATGACATACCTAATCAGTCTCACTTCTTGTTTAATATTTTTGTTTCTTCTCTTTATAAAAAAGGAACACATACTTTTCCAAAAAAAGAGGATGAACAATTGTCATATTTTCACACAATTTCATTCTTATTATCTATGAAATCATGTATCTATGAAATCATATATCGCCAAGATATGTTAATAAAATGTCACTTGTTCCGCACATCCATGAATCTGTTCATTCTATAGCTTTATCGGCAGATTGTTTCCTCCATGCGAAATCACGTTTAAATATCTACTAGCCAAAAGTTACTTCATTAAATCCATTTGTCAAAAATCCAAAAATGCAAATAATTTCGTAAGATAGAAATAATGTAATAAACCTTGCTCTTCTTTGGGTGTAGAAATGGTATCCTTATTTTCACTTTCCGCCAAGTCATTTTCTTGCTGTACATCGTGTGTTAAATCTAACTTGTTAGTATCGTTAGTAGAATCGTCTTGTTGATCTTTATGATCTCTCATTGATTTTTTATTGTTCTTTAACTTATCTTCTACATCGATTTGTTGTTTGGAAACGTCTTCTTCAGACAAAGTAAAATGATTACTGTCAGGTGCATTTTTTTTCATCAGTTTATATTTTTGGTAATCCTTTGAAGCCTGTCTCATGCGAATTAGAAAGTCTGGTAAACCTAAGGTAATCGTCATAATCAGTTATTACAAATGCATTAAAAACAATTTATAATTGATTTTATAATTTGTGACAAACCTCTCAATGCTACCCATGCGGTGACAGCAGATGGTACAGAGACACCAGGATCGTCAAAGTAAGTAAGTCCAAATTCAATGCCTGGTTCGTGAAATTCTGTATAAGGCTTTATCACCATGTATGACCAATATGTTCTAACTCTGTTACATATAGATATTAAAGTGTTAATTATACAGGACTACAAAAAAAAGTACTCTGTGCTGGGGCGGAGACCCAGCTATTCTTAAGCTTTGTGTCCACGATGCTAGAAATCAGTCCGAGACCTTGGATGAAGAAAGAATTGACCAATCGCAATGGTCATGTGATCAAATTGTTCAAATGTGATTTAAATTAATTTTTTCTCTGTCCGAGATCTCGGACCGATTTCTAGCATCGTGGGCATCGGGCTTTATGTATTTTGAGTCGCTGAATACAAATCTGATATCAAAATAGGATCATCCAGGGTAAATTTTCAATCTAGAGCGAAAAAATGACCTATTTTTTCCTATTTTTGACCCATTTTTTCGTTCAAGATTGAAAATTTACCCTGGATAATCCTATTTTGATCTCAGATTTGTATAGAGCAACTCAAAATATATAAGAATAGCTGGGTCTCCACCTCAGCACGGGATAATTTTTTTTGTGGGCTTGTGTTATTAAACAAACAAAAATAAATCTCTCTCTCTCTCTCTCTCTCTCTCTCTCTTATTGGGATATTTAATTTCGATAGCTTAAATGTTCAGTTATTAAATTAAAGCTCCTAAGTTAGTCACCACAGCCATATTGAATCTTGACATCAGAAGTGAGAAATGACATGTTAATTTTTGTTATGTGCTGTTTATAAATAAAGACAATTTTTGGATAATCCCCCCCCCCCCCCCCCCTCCCTGACTGTCAGTAAATAATCATAAAAAGTGGTAAAAAGCACATGTAAGTGAAAATAAGTTACGCATGTGTGTTAAATAAGAGCACTTCGTGTGTCTTTTATCACTTTTTACGATTATTTACTGGCTGCCAAGGGGGATAAGAATATCTCTTGTCCATTTTTATAATTGTTTTAAAATAATCTCATCACTTTATTTTATCTAAATTGTCTTTATTTACAAATAACACGTACTTGATAAAAAATTAATGTGTCATTTCTCACTTCTAACATCACGATTCAATACAGTTGTGGTGACTACTCAATCTTAGTTACTTAAAAAAAAACTGTTTTATTAACAAAATATAATATTAAAGAATTGAAAATTAAAGAATTGATCAACTAATTAATGATTTTTCATACACATATATTTTATATGAATGTTTAAATATTGACTGTTAATGCTGACTTCTTATACCTATAAATTCCTCGCCTTTCTGGTACATTAGGATGTTCCGTCACTCGACTGACAATAACTACAAGTCCTTTTTCTCTATCCATGATCCATCGTCGTTGATATACATAATCTCTATTAGAAAATAATTTCTGCACAAATACAAATTAACGAATCATTAAGTGGACAGATTTATCTAAAAATGGCACATTATATCACACTTACAGGCCAGATCATTTCCCAGTGGATAACATCAGTGCTATGATTAACAGACGATTTGAACTTTGGATCGGTCTCAATAATCTGTAACTCCTGAGCAGTGGGATCCCATTGCTTTCTATAATCTACATCGATTTGTACTTGTAAAAAATCTTCAGCGGTAACGTCAGAGAATGAACCATATACTTTATAGGCAAACAATCCACCCGAATCAGGTTCTACTTTCCTCCATATTAACATATCCTGACGCTCAATGAAAGGTTGCCAACCATCTACTGTACGTATTTTATATATTACACATAAAAATTTAACATACTTAAACAATATATAATATAAAATCAAATGTATTTATGTATATAATAAAATGTTTCATAGTTGAATAGCTAATACAAGAAAAACTTACAATTTTCATCAGAAGCATCAGAAGGCTGAACTCCACTACATTTACAATATTTTATATCAGGCTGTATAATATCAATAACAATTCGCAAATGACACTTTGTACAAACCACTGTAGAGTCTCTTAATCTATAAATTCCTTCAATCTCACGATTATACCTGTGATATAGAATGTCAAAAAGGATTATTATGTAAGAATATATTACATATGTCTTGTTCTTAGCAAGTACCTATTAATTTCTTCATCACTTATCCTGTCGCGATCCCAGTTGTACATGCTCACTCCAGCAGCGCTTATCAAGAAGTTTTTGGCATTCTTAGCAAGCCTAAGTCTCCACAGCCGCATGAATTCTCTTAGTGCTACCTCATCCCATATCCTCGTATAGAGGTGGAATATCTGTATGTACCTCCTGATCCTCTGAGCCGCCACAAATTCAAACTGTTTCTTGCAGGCCTGAGCTGCCTGCGTACCCTGCTCTCGGAACCACGAACTTATCCTTCTGCGGTAGCTGCCGAGTTTGCCGCGACCTTGCGTCCTCGGACCGCAGTGTTGCAGAACGAGCGCTAATTTACTAGTGCCGTTGCCGTAACCAGTATTGAATCTTCTAAGAGCATAACCGGACAACCTCCACGTATACATCGTTCGCTCTCGACGCTCTACGTTATGAATCCCTCGTACGGAACACACAATCAGTTGAATCAGTTCATTCTCATTCACGATTTCCGAACCCCGAACCTGTCCGGATCTACTGTGACCAACCGTACAGCCGTACAGATAACCGGACTCGTGAAATACCTCGTGCCGGTCTCGGGTTTTTTCCGTTTTCGCCGTCGATAAAAACGTGTCGCAAGTGCAAGAGGTATCTTCTCATCTAGATCAACGCATACTATTAATTATCGTGAAACTAATTATACGAGAAAATTGCGATCATCATCATCGTCCGCGATGCCTAACGGGCCTAACCGCGCGTACATACTACATACACAACCATCGATCGCGGAGGAATGTGGAGGAGCGAGGACGTGCGAGGAGTGCGAGGACGCCATCGGCGCCGATAGCGGAGCCGGGAGCAGTTCAGCAGTTGCGTGACAAACATGTGCGAGGTTGGAGTTTGGAGTTTAGTGCGGCGCGAGAAAGGGAATAGGTCGAACAGCCGGAACCCGGAACAGCCAATCGGTTCAGAAATTTCAATTTTTTGAGGGCGCGGCAATCGTCACGAGTCGCGAGAGTTGGCGCCAATTTCGAATATATAATATTCCGATTCTGTCCTTAAAGAGAAAAGGGCATCTATCATGGAAATGGATTCCGATCAGAATTCATTCCGAATATTTTCATAATAGGTGCCTTCCTTGGTACCTATTATGGAAATGTTCGGATACCCGCACGTCGACTTTGTAAAAATTCATGGTTCGCTCGCCGTATCATCCATTATCGACTTAATCGAGCATCGAAAAATTAATCGCGCGTAAGAGAAATTAATGTAAATTACATGTAAATTATAAAGAGAGAGAGAGAGAGAGAGAGAGAGAGAGAAGCAGTCATATGATTTCTCCCTCCAACATTATAATTCAACATGACCGCGGCTTAGAATTCCTCAAGTTTGGATTTTAAATACATTAAGAAATTTTTCAAGAAAATTACATTTAATTATTATTTATTTTACAGATTATAGTAGTAATAAAATACTACTACATTAATTAAAATATCTAATACTCTTATATAATAATTTATATATATATGCTGTTGAATTAAATTAATTATAAAACTGTAAAATATATATTTCAAAATTTACATAGGAATATTATTAAATAATAAAATCGACTTTGATCAACAACTAAAGATGTACCAAGTCTACAGTTTCTGTAGAAAATGATTAGAATGTAGGTATTCATATAAAAATGAATGTTATATGTATATAAAATGTTCAAGGTCAATATTTATATTTAATAATACATTTTTAGATAATATTAGAATTTAAAGTAAATAAATGTGTATTTTAATACTGAAAGTTTAAACATTTTCTCATTTTATCTTAATTATTTTTTAGAAACATGTCTACTTCTAATCATTTTTTATCCAGAATCTAAATCACCGCCCAACTTTTTATATGATTTTTAGACACAAATACAATATTAAAAAATTTATAACTTTTTCATAATTTTTTCATTTTGTTAAAAAGTACATATCTTGAAAGGCTTCTTTCGTTTATTGGTGTTATTCACTCATCGTCTACATTTTCTCCTACTTTTGTTATCAATAAATTGTATAGATATTGAATTGATTTGAAAGTTTTTGTGAATATAAATCTATAATTAATCTAAAAATATATGTTGGGCGATATCTAAATTCTAGTAATCGCATAGTTGCTGCGATTTCCGTTGATCTAATATTAAATGACATTAGAAAGAAAAATTATGCAAAAAAAATGATAAATTAAACCGAAGTCTCGCAAAAAATATGTAATACTTTTGTCGTATCGTAACTGCATACTGAGCGGAAATAAAGATCGGGGGTAACACGATGGCACAGCAGGCGGGATTTTGGATATCGTTTTTTTATTAACGTTTTATCAGTTACAATTTTGATTACATACACATAATGTGGAGTCGTCTTTAAACACACGGCTGCTATGATACAAATGACGAGGATAAAAATTTGGAGTGCGTAAAAATGTGATTGGATGACAATTCGCTCTTTTGCTTCTATCTTCCTCCCTTCCTGCCCTTTTCCCCTCTCGCTCTCCGCTTGCCCTCCTTCACTACTTCATTGGTCATGGCGATGGGCCAACCTTGAACGTATATTAATATAATATACCGAGTTTTTGGCCCATGTCCACTAGAGTACAGGGTAGGTAGGTGTGATATCCTTGATCGCAATTAAATCGTCCCTAATTCGCTAATATTTTACACGCAATGTCGGTGCGCAATCATCGCTCAAGACTGGCCCGGCGTTGACGAATCTGTTCGACCCGTCCAATCTCAGGACTGCTCAGACTGTTTCTCACACCGAGACCACGGAGAGGCACCGGGAGACTCCGTGCCAAATTCAGAGGACGGTATTTACAGAGGGAATTTATGGAATAGCAGCCGCGACCGACAAACGCGTCCCATCGTGAGGGATATTACGTTTACACGGAACGGCTCTTGCTCGTCTCTTGCTCGTCCATGTTGCTCGTAGACGTCGGGAAAACGAAATGCGGATCTAAAAGACGTCTGAGGATTATCGGAAAGGCCGAGACGTCTTTTAGATTTTTGTGCAACTCGTGGAAATTGCGGAAACGCATCACAACGGCTTTGATTATATAATTAATTCTGATCTAGCTCCCCAGCTAATGCGAATAGAAAAATTTTCTACATAAGAGTATATTCAACGAAAGTTAGCATTGATTGTACCGACATTCTCAATTAAGCTTCTGAGAATAATAATCTTTGTTGATTATAAAATAATTATTTATGAAAAGAATTGATGAGAATGTGTATCTAAAGTCGTTCAAAAGTGCCGCTTTGAGATGAAATCGCATTCTTCTTATGCACGGCTAATTAAATGATTCGAATTATGCCTATACAGCCGGACGTATACTCAGATCTGCAAGGACGAGTACAAAACTTGGAAAAATGCCAGGGTGCAATGACACGAACGAGAAAAGGTCCTCTGAACTTGGAACAATAACGGTAGGTTGCCTTCGCGCGTATACATTGTACTCAGCGACGAGTGGCACGTCTTCTTTTTTTTCGTCTTCCTCTCTTTATCGTTGTACACACAATTGATTATCTGTCAACAATTATTTGGAATATTATCCTTTTAGGTAAACAGTATATCGGGAATGGACAACAGGGTGAGACGCTAATCAGTCTAGGTAATCGCGGTGCGATACACGACCTCCGTGTAACACTAATCTGCTTTTCCTGCTTTTCGAAACACGGTCTGTCTGTGAGGGTGATATGCAATTTGTGATTCGCAGAGACTTTTAAATTGTGCGTAGATCGCAACGAGAGTAATAAATCAAGTTTTCATTCGAAGCGGGGTATAAATTACACCCGGCGTTGACGATCCAGAGACGATCTTTCCAAATGCACATATGCGGCCGGACTTGTACAAACGATTGAAAACTTGACGGAGATTCATTCAGCGAGATGAAGCGAATATCGAATCTTTTCTATCCTCGTCCTCCTTTTACCCTTTCTCCATCAAAGTTAAAAGCGGATTGCCGCTGAGAAATCTCCAATTATTAAATATCTACTAGAAGGTCTAAACATTTTTAATAAAGTTGCTCAATTACTAAAACGTTAAAATGAGGAACTCTGTTTGCGAAGATCAGTCCTACGATTTGGAGATTTGCTTGACGTACAATCGAATTGGCAAAAAGGAAATGGTGAACCATAATTGTGGTATAGTCACTCATTCGGCTGCTCAATCCAAAGCTCACAAATAAATTCCATTCTACAATTGCGTAAGTGTAGTTTTAAATGACTGTAGTAAGAATTGACTAATTACAGTCGAATATGAGAATATTCTATTATGATTGGCCAATTCTTACAACTACAATTACTTACGCCTACGCTTACGCAATGGCTTAGTGTTTTCACTCTAAAAAGTATCGGTATGAATTTAACACTATGTGATGTCTATATAATTCTCACCGTATTGGTGTTAATATTAACATGTGGATTTAATATCACGGGTTTTTTTTTTATGGAATTGTTATTTTGATGAAACTTTAAGCTTTTTTATATAAAGTTTCATCAAAATAATATGAGCGATTCTCAGTTTTTTCTTCAACGTCAACACCCTGTATCTTTAAAACTAAGCCGTTATGGACATTTATGGTCGTATGAAATTTTCATCTTGAATTTGTGTGAGGAATCACCTCCCCTAAAGTCTTTTATAAATATTCACCTTGTATAGACACCATATGGTGATAAATCTACATTGATATTTTTTTAGAGTGTTTGAATGCGACACACCCTTCTCTCCCTGAAAATGCACTTGAGACCTCTTCGATTCAGAAACCGAAATGTTGCGCGACGAAGATTCTCGTATGCGTAATTTGCGTGTGCGTAATTATGTTTTCAGACGGTAATTCTATTGGAATGCGTTAATATATACTTCCATTTAAATAAAAAATAACGATCCTAGTTTACGATGCTTACGCGAGGAAAAAGAAATAACTCGTTGGCATCTTTAGACTCGCGACAAATGGTTTCGTAGGTCTCCTTTACAATTTCTCATTCTCTGACAAAATACCATCATTCCACCGAGATAGATCGTGTATCATTAATCAAGCGTCGAATGGAGTGAATGAGTCAGTTAAATGAACACGGTACTCGCGGCACTCACAAACGCTAGATGAATAGTTCATTTATTAATAGTGTCTATCAAATATTAATCGTGAATTACAACGACATCGCGGTAATACAACCAGCAAATGTCATTCGTGCTAAATCTTGTTGAAGAATAGAAATTAAGCTAATCGAGCGCTCGCTATTTATCAACCGGTGGCTTCATGAATCGCGCTCTATATATGCGATCGTAAAAGGTTTAATTGAACTTGGTTATCGTTTTAGTACGTTTAATGATGCAGCTTACCACGAGAATTCGGCACGAATATACATTCAATTTCTCCGCTGCATCTAATTATGCAATATGAAAACGAAATAGAAGCTTCCAATTACTAGATAAAAGGAAGATTTAGATTCAATGAATGTTAATCATTTTTAAT